ATTATAGTCACTGAAATGAATGTGTATATACAACCTTATTATTTGACTTTTTAAAAATCAGTGTTTGAAAACACAAGATCACAGCTAATGAAGCAGTGATTTGTAAAGCTGACTCTAGAAGACAGAATTGCGAATGGAGTTGCTGCATCAGCACCAGAATTCAATTTACTTGAAACAGAGCAACTAAATTACCTTTGTGCAGAGCGTGGAATACCCTGACTAGTCAGGTGTCTATAAACACCTTACAATGTGCTTCTCCTTCTCTTGAAGATGCATAAAGCGATTCTCAGAGGAACTAGCAACTAGTGAACTTATGGGTCCTGAAGTATTTAGAATGTATTAAACACTAACCTTTAAAGATTGAGAATAGATCATTTAGGATGTGATGAAGAGCCAGCGCCTTTTTACTACAGGGTAATATAGTGCTTGCACTCTGAGATAATTATTCCAAAGTAACTCCTTATTCATTAAACTGGGGAGCATCCACTTTCATCCTGGCCAAGGTCATTTCTGTTGTCCCGGGAACTCTTTAAATTCTAAAGGAAGCTGGCCGACCATGTGTGGCAATTTTAAAGGAAAAACAACAACAGAAAGTGAAGAATTTAGAAAGTCATTCTCTATTGCTTGTAGCTATTAAAGAGAAACAGGTGTAACAAGAATTTCTCCAGATTTACCACTAAAACCTGAGTAGTTGGTTCTAGGCAGTAATAATTTTGCTTAAAAGTACATCTGAAATTCTTTTCAACATGTAAGAATTTATTTTTTCTTATTTGTCATGTTTTTCATATAGAAATAAGTGACCAACCCTTTGCTTTTCTTCACCTGACAATGGAGAATTATTTTTGAATCCAGGAAAGGCAGGACCAAAACCATTTGCAATGAGTTTTTGATGAGGACAGTGACCTTTAAAACTTCTGTGCTTTGGGAAGATTTACTGGATAATTTCACAAGCCCATTTGGCAGAGCTAAGGAATCTCTTAATTAGGAGATTGATGAGATATTAACTTATTGGAAATGTGCCATTGTTTTATTATATATCATGGCCTGCTTTTGATGTGCATTTGGGGAACAACACAAAGGCCCCTTACTTAGCATGAATAAAATTAGAGATTCATCTGTCTGTCTTGTGGTCTTAATTTAGGGAATTCTTTTTCCTATTTAAACCCTGGGCCGTTGATTGAAGAGTGATTATTCTCATGTATGGCAGCACAGACTTGTATAGAATTAATTCAATTAGGGTGGGTGGGGTAGATAAAACAGGTATTATTTTGTTGTTGTTAATCCTAACCCGAGGATATTTTTCTCATTGATTTTTAGAGAGATAGGGGGGAGAGAGAGAGAGACATCAATGTAAGAGAGAGAGAGACATCAATTGGTTACTGCCTACACACACCCTGACCGGGGTCAAGGATAGAACCTGCAACCCAGATACGTGTCCTTGACCTGGAATCGAACCTGTGACCCTTTGGTGTTTGGGCAGACGCTCTATTTTCTGAGCTGCGTTGGCCAGGGCTGCTGCTGTGGAGAAGGAAATTGGGCCTCCGAGAGGTTGAATGAGTTGCTTAAGATTACACAGCTAGTGGATGATGGGAGGGAGGCTAGGGCAGGTCTTTTCAACTCTGAACTGTGTCTTATTTACTGTCATTGGAGCTACTTAAAGTGTAGGTGCAGGATGGGAGCCGAGGCAGAGATGATCTTGAGTGCTCTCAGAGATGCTGGAAATAAATGGAAAACCATAGTGAGCACTGTACCAGCCTTTCTGCAGATTTAACACACACAGAGGTGTACATTTAAGTTAACCCACAAAGAGTTGTGCATTAAGATATGGGATAAGGGGGTTTCTAAGGACCCTGGCATCATGTAACTTGTTACCTTGAATATAAAATTAACCTCTGATCATCACTGTCACATGGATCTTAAAATAGTTCATGTGTTCAACTCAGAGAACTGGTTTCAAAACAAATGCTATCATTAGGTTACTTTGTAAACCCCCAAATGCTGTGAAAATGTGTGATATTGTATTATGTGTAATCCAAATAATGTCATGTTTATTTTAGTCTGCAGATTAATTGTAAAAAAAAAAGATTATATAATTAAGTCTATAGTTACTTGGGTAAGATATCCACAATTGATATAAAGGGGAGTTTTCTTTATTATTTTATTTTTCTTTCATTTCTCATTATTAGCTTCACTCTTTTGACAAATATTTATCGATCTCCTAAATTTTGTTAGGACCTGTGCTGTGTATTGGGAAATAAACGTGGGAACGGCACTGTGTTAATAGCACGTGTTTCTTTTCCTGGTGGGAATATAAATTGGTATAGTCTGTTTTAAAAGCAATTGGGTGATATTTTTTGACAGCCTAAAAAAAATCATCTTATTTTGATCCAGTAATAATATAATTATGTTCTAAGGAAATAATGGTGCAGACTAGAGCTGCCAAGTGAAGGCTGACTGGCTGGGGGTGAGTGGTGGTGGAAACTCACGCTGGGCTCCGATCCCCGGTCCCACTTTCTGATTAGGGTTTTTCTAGAGAGGGCATCCTTTCTAGTTGCACTAAGGGGTCATCCAGGCTAACAGGGGCTCCGGTGTACACAAGATTTACATAGAAGGGTGTTTAGGTGTTGTTAGTAATAGCAACAGATCATAACCTATTAGACAATGGAGTATTATGTATCCCTACAATGGGGTATTATAAATTTTTGATTAAGCATTAATAAATTGGCTTGTGAAAACGCTCATGGCGTTTTAAAATGTGGGAAAAAAAATTACACAACCACATTTTGAGATATAAGGAGCCAGAATGTAAGATTGAAGCCAGTTTTGAAGTACCGGTATATTCTGTTAAGAAGTTGGAACTGATTGATTTAGGTATATTTTGAAGACTAGGAAGGACAATATGTGTTTGATAAGAACATGGTGGTTTAAATGACTTTTCAATTCTTTCAAGGGATTCCATATTATAGCTTCATAATGTAAAACAGAAGAATTATACTCTAAATTTCAAGAGAAAATTTCTAGTCTGCCACTTGGTATTAAAATATTATATTTATATTATACTAGAGGCCTGGTGCATGAATTTGTGCATGGATGGGGTCTGGCTGGCCCTCCCCAATTGGAGCCAATCGGGCCAGGCTGGCCGGGAGGAGGGGACACGGGAGGTTGGCAGGCTAGCCTTGCCAGTGGTCGGAGTGGGGGTGTGTGGCAATCAGGGGAGGAGCCATGGGCGGTTAGTGGGCCAGCCCTGTCCCCTTATTGGGGTAAGGGGGCCGGCCAGGGGGAGGGGCTGCAACTGGCCAGGGGGAGGGGCCATGGCTGGTTGGCCAGCTGGCCCCATCCCCTGGTCAAACTCCCTGTTGAACTCCTGGTCTAACTCCCAGTTGAAGGGACAATTTGCATATTAGCCTCTTATTATATAGGATTGATTTTTTTTAGTAATGTTTCTAGTAGTAGTAAAATCTGTAGTATGCATTGGGATGTATGTTTTTGAGACATAAGAGACATATATATAAGAGAGAAAGACAGACAGAGACAGGAATATATGTGTATGTGTATATATATCCGTGTGTGTGTGTGTGTGTGTGTGTGTGTATGTATGTGTATATATATATACTTATTTATTTAAAACTGGGATAGCTGAAATCGGTTTGGCTCAGTGGATAGAGCATCGGCCTGCGGACTGAAGGGTCCTAGGTTCGATTCCGGTCAAGGGCATGTACCTGGGTTGCGGGCACATCCCTGGTGGGAGATGTGCAGGAGGCAGCTGATCAATGTTTCTCTCTCATCGATGTTTCTAACTCTCTATCTCTCTCCCTTCCTTTCTGTAAAAAAATCAATAAAAATATATATTTTAAAAAATAAAACTGGGATAAAATTAAAGCCAGTTCCCCTTACCAGCTACACCCATGTGAATTCTAGTACATTTCCTTTAGGGTAGGGCCTTATGAGTGAGTGAACTCTTTCTTTTTGTTCAAATGTATGGAAATACATGCAAAGGAAACCTGGCCCAGTGCTGCAGTGCGGACATTGGCACAGAATGTCTAAGGACTCCAGGCGTGTCCCTTCTTGAATATAGTTCTAAATGGGGGGGAAAAAGTCAATTGCATCTAATAAGCTGGCTTAAGTGAATGCCAAAGAAAATTTGTCTCATGAAATGGAAATTCTGAAGCAAGTTACATAATGTTGAGGAAAAAAGACAAATAGGAGCATTTTCAGGCTATATTCAAATGGGGCAAATGGTCCATTTTAATCAGAACTCTTCAATCCAACAATATTTAATTATATTTGGGAAGATCCAAATGGTCCTGGGGATTTGGAAGCTTTTGACCATATAAGTATTTACTTTATATTTTCTTAATTTGTAAGAGGTGACCTTTATTAACTTAGATCAGTTTTTAAAAGTTGCTTGGGTATTGGTCAACATGGAGCCATAAAAAATGTATCATGTATCATATTAATTATTCTGCACATTTTTATCATCTGTAAAGAGGAAAAAAAAAACACATAAACATTTCCCCTGAAAACCAGCATGATTAAAAAATCTCTTAGTTGCTAAGAATAATGGAGCCAAGAGCTCCAGTTGGAGTATTTGTGAATTCTCTTTCATATATTAGATTTACTTTTAAACCGCTTTCTACCTGTTGCCTCTCAGGCTTCTCTCTCCATTGCATCCCGTTCTTTTTAATTCTTCCCTCCCTGATCTTTCTCCAGATTTTCATTATCGTGTGTCCAGGATCTTTCTCAGTGTCATAGCTGGTATTTTTGCCTCTCTTCCCTCATTTCTCCATTTTGCCCTTTACATGGGTGCTAAAGAGCAAGCAAAAAACAAGCAACGAAAGAAAACATATTCCTCAGCTATTATGTTTATGTCACTCCACTAATGAAGAGCTTAAAGGATTGCAGAATTAGATTTTTTTTTGTTTTGTTTTCCTCCAATGGAAGTATTTTATCAACATGTGGAACTTTTCCTCATTGTTGGTTTTTGTGTGCTTTTCTTGCAGGATCAATGTGACTCTAGAAACAAATGGATGAATGAGTATCCATATGAAGAGGAAAACAATAAAGGTTGGTTGCTTATACTGTAGAATTGCAGTGAAAATCCTATTTTGAACATGACTTTTGGGCAGATGTTTTCATTAGAGCACTTCCTTGTCTGAATATGAGACAGAGTTCAATACTGAGATATGTGCATCTATCTGTAGAGTGTAATTTTTATTTTTAATGCCTTAAGTATAAGTAAATGTATGAGGAGGCAAACTGTTTTTGTACAAGTCTACCTGTCTTCAGTTTTCAGAACTTAAGTTGGTGTTTTAAGAATCAACTTTTAGATGGAGATTAGGAAATGGTAAACCAGGTGATAAAACTGATCATGGGGGCAAAGACAAAAAAGAGTAGCCAGATTTTGTTTAATATATATATATATATATATATATATATCAGTTCCTACAAGCATAATTCCAATACCACCACCGTATGGTGTGTGATTTCAGCCTGCAAGTGTCCTTAAAATTTAACAATTGGCTCTGATGAGCTGGAGTCCAGCTAACTCGATGTCTCACACCATTGATAATTTCATTTCCAAAGTAATGAAACAATGTCACATGTTCCTTAACCCAATAGGGCAAATGTAGTAAATTTACAATTTCCTGGCTCATCCCTATGTACATATGAAAACCTTCTTCACTCATTATCATGTAAAATGTATGTTTCCCTTAACTTATGTATGATGTTGATATAATATTACTTTATATTTATGTTCAATCGTTATTAAATTTTTGTTTGAATGGGTTAGTATTAGCTTTGTGAGTTTATGCATTTTGACAGTGTCATCGTTCTGTAACTAATTTTATGATAACTGAAGGTGATGGCAAAGAGAATCATTGTGTGACTACTTTCCCTGAGGATGGACTTTGAAAATATTATCATGATTGACTATAATATACTATATGTGGTTCATTCTAACTGATTGTGCCTCATAGCTATAATTCATGAGTTCATAAGTCTTTATAGAGGAAGGAGCAGTGAGGATTTCACTGAATATGTTTTCCCAATGAATTATTTTTTCTATTGCTGTTTTTCATATTTTTGATCCATCCATATTTTCAGTTATAGCTGCCTTAAAACAGAATGCATTTGATGCTTGTTTTAAGCTGGCTTGAATTTGATGCTGTTAGTTTTAACAAAGTCTGATTCTGGGGGAAAATTGCAAAATTTGAACATTTATCTTTTCTAAATATTTCGAATATATTGGCAAGGTCGTTATTAAGATGAAGTTTAAAAAAAATCTCAGTAGTGGAAGCAACATTGCCACTGTCTGCATAATTGAAAAGGAATTTGAATATGGCTTGTAAAATTATTTTGTACATTTCCTCCTGTTTGCCAATGGTGATAAAATCTTGCAAAGAGTCACAGAATATCATACTGTGTCTTTGTGCTTGGGTTTTAAAATTAATAGTCTAAATAGCATTTGTAAAATTTCTTTTGTGGCTATAAAAGTCTTACTTCCAGGAGCAGTCTTAGTTGTATATATATATATATATATATATATAACACACACACACACACACACACATATAATTAAGTTATTTCTTGTATTCAATTTCTATTTTTTTCTTTTACTCAATTTCATTGCACTTGAAGTTGTCCCTGTTAAAAAACATCAAATAAATTCTAAAAAGCTTCCAGATATCCATTATTTTTGCTCCCAAATATTTGCATGAAGTCCTGTCTCTATGCTCTTAAATGCATTTCGGCAGCTGCTGTCCTTGTGAATGAGGTGGCTCGTTTGCGGACCCGGCTCCACACCCTGGCTTTACTCCACTTGCTTTCCAGCCGCGGCAGAATGCTTATCCAGGTGCTTCTCAGCAGCTGGCTTAGAGCAGGTGTCCAAAACAGGCACATACACATGAATTTGTCCAGCTTATCAGAGCTCGCATGAAAACTTCTGCTCTCAGGCTACCCCTGATGAACAGCTGCTTAAACCGTGTGGCCTAACAATGGGTGACTTCTACTTCTTGTGTTTAGAATCTGAGAGGAGGACAATAGCAAACCTTTCTGAGAAAGCTTTGGTTCCTTACAAAATAAAAAAATAAAAAAGTTTGTTTTATAATGATGCCACGATGGATGCATAGAATGTGGTTACTTTACATGTCTTCTCCATGAAGTTCCCGTTCTTCACACAGGAGAGAAAGATTGTAATAGCAGCCACTCAGCCTGCTTTCCATTTAGAACTGAGTTGGTATAGTTGCTCAGAAAGCCCTGTTGGCGGAAATGAAACATTTGTTGTTGGCAAACGTTTATATATAGTAGCTGCCTAGGCTGTAAGCATGGAATCAAAAACAGTCAAGCCATGGCTCTGCAATTCTCTCTGTATGATCTTGGACCAGTGATTTCTTTCTGAATTTTACCTTCCAAGTTGCAAGGGAGAGTGAATAACACCTGTCCTACCTATTTCTAGAGTTGTTATGGGGATGAAAGAAAATACGACATATTCGTGGAAACAATTTCAGATCATAGAACTCTAAAGCTGTGTGTGGTATTGATGCTATTATTTTTACAGCCTGTGACAGAGACTCATGACATTTTTGTTTGACTTTACATCAGAAAGTCAAGCATTTTCAGAAATGGAAGCACCCTCAAAGTTCACTGACTGACACGTGCTTGGTGTGTGGCAGCCTTCTACAGGAGTTGGCTGCGTTAGCATTAGGTTGAGTACTCTTTGGAATTTCCTACAGTGTGAAGCAGTTCATCCTATTTCCAGGACACAATTATATTACAAGTTCTTCCTCTTCTGAGCCAGATCAGTAGGTTGGATCATGACATTCAGTAGGCACATCACGTATTTATTATGATATCGTCCTCGATTAGGTCACTCTTCTGTCAAGTCCCTTCCCCTTTGGGTCCCTCATTTCTTTGATCTGGGAAATTAGAACAAAATGGTATACAGGGAGTTGAGAAAGATTATGCAATTATTGAAGTAGAATGATGGCTTCCTTATTTGAAAAGATGATGCATTGCTCATTTTACAAACATTAAAGCAGGCAAAGCCCTATTGTCTCCCCGCCTCACGCTTATCAACAGTGGTGAACAATATTTACAGCATCTCTGTGTGAGTACATGCAAGTAACTAGAGGCAGTTTTACAAAAATTTCCAAAGAAGAGTTATTTTTTCACTTTGCTTCCAATATAATGGAAGAAATAGAAACTGAATTTAAAATGAACCATTTATTAATTTCTAGCTGATGTCCTATCATCAAAGTGTTGCTGTTACTTAAGAGTTAAGGGAGAAAAAAACCACTTTTTGAATCCTGGCAATTCTGCTTAGACGGAATTTAACTTTCAACATCTTTTGACTTTTTGCTAAGAAAGTTGGGAAATTGATGGTATTTCTTTCTAACTACCTTTCCCTCTTCCTGTTTTACTACCTTTTCAAAATTGAGGTTATTATTCATTATTTCTGATTGTTAGTCATAATTATGAGAGCTATTTCATCTTCATTCTTATTTTTCCCAGAAATATGAAAACAAGGCCTTACTGTCATCTGGCATCTGTGTTCCTGTGAAGGCTGATGCCACCTGATCATTCATGTGTTCTTGTGTTGCTTTTTGGGCAGATATCCATGAACTATTTTTAGTAAACTAAGAGTTAAGTAAATATATCGATTTTTGTCTGGTTTTTATCATCTATATTGGTTTTTCTTGGCTTCTGCCACTGACGTCTGAGAAGTAGAGTCTGTTTTTATGTCCTCATTTTTAACATTATAATGAAAAAAATATTTTCTATTTGTTTTGCTTTCTACTTTAGTAACCCTGAAAATATGTATGTTTCTCCTTGGTTTTCCATATCAGTGATCTTCCCCTTTAACTTTTTATTTTTCTTACTGTGCTTTCCCATTAAACATTTTTTTCTTACTATGTTCTCAGTCAAATTATTTATTATTTTGTACTTGCTTAAGTGGCTTTTTATCTCTGTAGTATTTATAGCTCTGTCAGCATATTTTTTTCACATGTTTCAGTTATCTTCTGTTATATCATTTGAACCCTTGTGCTTCTTCCTTGAACTTTTTTTTTTTAAGAAAGGCCCCTTTGTTTCTAATTCATTTTTGAGTCTATGAAGTGCTATTTGTCTCAATTCTTCATCTGTTTCTTTGGGTGATTTTTTCAGTGATGTTTGTTCTTCACTGGCTTTTGCTTACATTTCTCTCTTGCTTTTGATATTTTCTGCTTTTTGCCCAGTTCCCTCATGGCCTCTCTCTGATTGTTACCCATCTGTAAATGGGGCAGTAGATTCTAACATTGCAGGTAGTACTGTGGGCAGGGGCGCAAACAGTTTGGGTATGAGCTAGATGAGTCCAAATCTTTGATTTGTGCTTATTTCAAATACTTTCTAAATAAAGGTGTCACTTCCAGAGTTTCCCTCGGTTTCCATTTATGGCACAGCCGCTGAGACAAAGGTTCCTGTCTCCATCCTTCTGCCATTTCTAGCGGACCCTTAATAATAATGCCTACTCCATAAAGTTGTTGTGAAGATTAAATGAAAAAGATAATGCTACAGAATTTGCCTATTGCCTGGCTATTACTAAGTGCTCATTAAAATGGCCATTTTTATTATTTTAAGCCATTTTAATTGTATTTTGAATGTGGTTAGTTTAGTTTTAGGAGAATTTGCTGCTCAGGCCAGTATTTGTATACACACACACACACACACACACACACACTTTAACAGCATAACTCACTTAATTTCACTCCTTTTCAGATTTAACTGATGTGAAATAATGAGTGAAGCTTGGAACAAAGAAAATTTATTGTAAAGTGCCACTAGACTTTTCTAAATAATATATTTTTATTGATTTCAGAGAGAGGAAAGGGGTGGGGAGAGAGATAGAAACATCACTGATGAGAGAGAATGCCCTCATGCCCCCCCAATCTGGGCATGTGCCCTGACTGGGAATAGAACTGTGACCTCCCAGTTCATAGGTAGATGCTCAACCATGAGCAACACCTGCTGGGCTAGACTTTTTTTTAATGGGATACACAAAAGATAAAGTTTATAGTGTAAAACCCGGC